CCATTGATTATGTGAAATCAAAGGAGAATATTGCAGATCAACTTACAAAGAGTATACCAAAAGAGCAAGTGTTATATCTATCAAGGGGAATGAGCTTAAAGCCAATGCAATGAGGAGTAATTTGGCGGAAACCAAACCTAGTAATTTTGGTTATCCAATTCTAGGTTCAAAAAGGAAAACTAGTTGAGTGAAACTTGAAAGAATAGAGTATACAATATTGTTCATTCCTATGATAAGAACCGTATGCTACCTGTGATGATAAGGGTGAATGATTAATCATTCTTAATGACACAAAGAATATATTAAAAAAATATTGCAGGGTATTCATATTCATCATGTCACCTATATAGGAGTAATATGGGGTCGCATTCATGAGAATGACATGGCTAAATTCTCTAAAACTTCTATGAATTCAGGACTATTCATGACCAAAATGAACGCAACCGTATGATTTGAAAGGTGTAAAGATTTGATATGTGTGATACTTGTTGTCTTGGTTTACTAAACATGGTGAACAGTTCAATGTCTCCTATACACACTGATTCACTAGTAACTCCGATAAGTATTCACTAAGGAAGGTTCAAGTCCAAAAGACACATATCCTGATGCAAATCGAATCTAGTTTTTCTCCAGGCCATCCAAACCTTGGTAACTGACGCTATTTGCTATACAAATGTGGGGTATTGTTGGAGAGTTTGTATAGAAATAAGAATTTTGGATGTTGTTGTTTTTCTCACATAGGATGGAAATAGAAAGAAAAACTTGTTTATAAGTATAAAAGTTAGATCCTTATTAAATTGGATAAAAGACCACTAGAATGGGTTTTGGGCCTGACCCAAATGATTTGGACTTGATTGGGTTCCTTGATAGGCTATATAAATATATATATATATATATATTATATAGTCAAAAGATGGGCCTTGGGGGTCTTGGGTCTGTGATTTCTAAATTTCAGTTTTAGCACTTATAATTTTCTTTTTCGGTTTTGTTCGATTTTGTCTGAATGGATGTATCTGATCAACACAACTGTTTTACCATAACCGACACAAAGGATAAGGATCTTCGTTTTCTATATATATGTAGAGAAAATGTCTATTTCACTTGCTGTAAAAAAAATCCTGCATTTTAATCCTTCATAAAATTTTGTTTGAAAGAAGAAAACACTGAATATAATCGCCAGAACCAAGAATCGAGTGCTCGTTTCTTGGGTATAGATTGTTGAATCCTGGTGGAAGACGCTCATCGAACTACAAGCACAGGAGTAGGGGCGAATTTCTGCTATAGGACATAGCATTGTGCTAGCCTTAATCTGAAATTCAAGTCAGTATCGTTTATGTTAATTTTATTGTCGATCTATATATTGCCGTGATATTATTCTGTTTTGTAAGTTCGTTGAACTATTAGTTCTGTCTAGTTCTTTATTGTTTCCAACAATATTTTTAAATAAGACAAAAAAATAAATAAAAAATTACGATTAAATATGTGTCCCTCATGATTACGATTACAAGATTTTCTATTGAAAATAAGAAAATGATGAAAAAAATGAAAGGATATAAATATGAGTATGCATAAAGATTAATGATTTAACATAATTAAAATATGGTGTATTTATAAAATGATGTGTTGTGAATATAATCAAATTTTGTCCAATTACTCGGTAAATGCTTTAGTATAGTAGGGTACTCAACCACACGACAACTATATTCTATTAAATGATAGATGTCAAATAATCCATTTAATTGGATCTATCAAGTGTGATAATCTAAATTGATGGTGTTAATAACATTATTCTTCATCATTTGTCGAACTTATTAAGATTGTTAGATGCTACATGGCCAAACCCCTTCACATCTCTTGTCTGAATCATGACATAATTAATATTGGGATAGTCATGTTCAATAAGATATGATATTTTCAAACTCGCAATTGATGCTCAAGGCGTGTTTTAGTACCTTCTTCGCTCCTTATACTCACTCTTCAAGGAAAAAAGCACAACATTCCCTTACCCAATGCGACTTCTCTCCTTCTCTAACACACTTAACTCTGCATTCAACTTAGTTATGGACCCTCCTTGACATGTTTGTTAATGGACTAAAATTCAAGATTAGTGTTCTTGTTGAAAAGTGTACAAAACAGTACGTGGTAATATGTTGACATCAAAGATTTAAGCCACTTGTACATTGTTTGGGTGACATAAAGTTTGACATTTTTTAAAAAATTCAGAGTGTTGTTGGCGAGAAAGTGTGTAATGTTTAAAAATTGGCTAATCATGATGCGACATGTGGCACAATGTCAAACTTAGTATCTAAAAAATGTACAAGTAGCATGATCCGACATCAAAATCTAGTGCTCAAAACTCATACATTACTTCATTTTTAGGGTAGTGCTAGACGTACTCCATGAACTACTACATGGATTACTTCCTGCTGACGTGGGTACTCTTTGAATATTCAACCCAGCAAATAAAAAAAAAACCAATTAAAAGGCGCGCTGAAAAGGCTCCCTGCGAAAATGGAGTAGCACGTCGCCGGCTACTTGGACGACGACAACCACACATCGGTGAACCTATTATTGTTCCCTCCTTTTTAGTTCAACGCTTTCTGTTACAGAGACAGAGATGAAGGGGAAGCCGCAACTCCCACGCCGACAACTGCGACGCCGGCGACAACATGGGTAAGACGTTTTCAGTTTAATCTTCATTATATGGCCAGCAGGTGACAACATGGGTTCAATTTAATTTTCAATTTAAACTCCCACGCCGACAACTCGAAAAAGGTTTTTACCATTTCTTAATTCAGCTTGGGGATTGGAATGCAGTGCTTGTTGAATAAATGTGAGAATAAAGAAACAAGGTATGTTTGAATGAAGTTTCTGAAAAGTAACAATCATTGGGAATTTGGAAAGGATGGAGATGGGGATGGAGTACATTTGAAGGAGAGTCATATTCAGACTTAATGAGAGCGTGGGGTGAAGGTGGTGATGGTTGTTGCAGTGGGGTGCAGGGGCTGGTGAATGAGCTAGGCAGTAGCACGACGGTTGCTGTTGTGACCCTTGGAAGCCAGCTTTTTAGGGCTTCAAGATGACAATAAAAAAAGAAACGGGAATCGTAGCTTTGAGTGTGCATTGTATAATTTACTTTCTTGGCTTTTTTGTTAACTGTATAAAGAGCAGTTCTTCTTCTTTGTATTAGTATAGTTAATAGTACAGTGAAGGTTGAGTAGGGATTGATTTTATTGTCGTTGGTGATGTAATTTTTTTCTGTACTTAAGAAATGTGCAAGGGATTTGGTTAGTTGCATCATTCATTCCAGTCCAATTTTGGACTTGGAAAATTCCTTAAAGTGGAATTGTTTGGTCCTTAAGGAAAAATTCGTGAGAGAGAGTGAGAGAGGATTTCACAGAAAATGTTCCGATTTGATTTCATAGGTTTGAACTTAACCACGATTTCACAGTCTGATTTCACAGGAGAGAGAGAGAGAGAGAGAGAGAGAGAGAGAGAGAGAGGCGAGTGCAAGGGGAGGGTGATTTTGGGGGTTTATACATTTGCAATATTATGGGGGGGTTTTTTCAAAAGGATTGCCATCATTTTTTACTACACCAAGTCCATGTCAGCAGGCACTAAAGATTTCGGGACGGTGTGGGAGTACATATAGCTTTTTCCTTATTTTTATTTCAACAAATGGCAATAGGGTCGAGTGGCCCTCCTTGTCCACAAACAAGGTTTGGAAGAAGATTAAAACATCCTTATATTTCGCCCATTCACTTATCTGTTTTTTAAAATAAAATTTAATTTTAAAATGTAAGATATAAAATAATAATCGGGGACCATCCCAGCCTGATGCATTTTGTCATCGATGAACTAATAGCAAAATGTGATATAAACTCACAGTCATAACAAACGTGCGCGAGACATACAAATGTTGGCCAGGGCAAGAATTAGAACTAATCAAACTAGGGCTGTCAGTGTGTCGGTTCGGTTCTGAAGAGAGCCGAATTTACCCAAAACTTTCGGGTATTTAATAAATGGAACTGTCGGGTCCAAATATAATTATGGAACTGTTCGGGTTCGGTTCGGTTCGATTCCGTACCATTATTAAATTCTTTAATATTTACAGCAACACTACATAAATACAACTAATGACATTTCATTCGTAACTTTTACAAATTAACGTAGCCCAATTAAAAAATATATAAATAACTAGTCATCCAATAAAATTAATTCAATGCATACAAATACCAAAAAGTATATATTAATATTACAGCAACACTACATAAAGTAAATTCATTTGCTTCAAATTAAAATGGGCTAATGGACTTTAAAAATGATTTGAGCTTTAAAATTAAAATTATGAAATAATCTGATTTATTTAATTAATTTGTTAATTTATTTAAAAAAAATAAACTAATTTAATTAATTCAATATAAAAAATAAAAAAAATTTATTTAGTTTCGATTCTCAATTCGAGTACCAGTTCGAATATTTAACTTATGAAAAATAGCTCGATTCGATTCGGGTTCGATTCGGGACTTTTGAACCACCAAAATCAAACAAACAAGAAAAAAATAGGCTATCTTGGCCATGGCTGAGATGCTCGACTAGACGGGGAGAATAAATTAGCAGCAAATATTCGACCCCACAGCCTTTTTATTTGTGGCTGCAGAATGCCCAAGAATTGACGCAAACTGTTATTCAGCCACGCACTCCATTTGTAATTTTTCTGGATGCAAGCACTCCATTTGTAATTTTTCTGGGATGTATCCATTCAGTCAGTCGTCAGGTCCTTGTACCAATATTATTCTCATTATTATCAATTCAAACAGCCAACTCGATTAATACCCACAAAACAAATATCGTCAAATATCTAAGCGCGTTGCAGTGATTTTTTGGCTCTATCTGTCAGTTGGTGAATTGGGTCTTGCATTTTGTCACCATCTGGGCTCCTACTGTCTCGTGCGGCATTATTGTGTTATGTTGTGCTAGAATTATAGTAGCAATGAAGTATGCGGACACTTTGTGATGTATGTGAGAGTGCTGCGGCTATTCTATTCTGCGCTGCAGATGAGGCCGCTCTTTGTCGTGCCTGCGACGATAAGGTTACTTTAGCCTTTTTCTCCAACCCTTATCTTTTTACGGTTTTTTGCATACAGGAAAATAGAGCATTCTGTGCAGGTATATGGGCTACTGATTGATGCCCCCATATGTAGTCAAGGATGAAATTTTATTGGAACTGACATATTTGGTTCGTTCATGAAATATTTTTAATAATTAAGAAGAAAGGTGAAGTTAAAAATTTTTGGCGATTAATAACATCTTTTAGGAACGGTTGCTTTAGTTTTCCTTCTCTCTTTTGTGGAGGATGTCTGGAAATGATTGTATTGAATGTTAGATAGTGAATGTATTTGAAAAACAAAGGGTTGGAAAAAAAATTTAAGAACTGATTTCACTTCAGATTTGCGAACATGTTTGGTCGCGCCTAAAAGCTACATTTATGAAATAGGCATGCTTTCCAAAAAAAGTAGCTTTTAAGACTAGTGCCCAACTGCCAGAGAATGGTAATATGTTTAACCATTTGGTGAAGGGAACTATGATCAAAATAACTGCTGCTAAGGCTGAGAAATTGCAGTGAAGATACTGCTGGCCATACAAAGCAGGATGGCTGTAGTTTTTTTATTGAGAATGTCAACCTGATGCCTGCATATATTAACAATTGTACTAGTTACGGTAATATTTACCGGGGATTTGCTGCTATAAATGACACACTAGGTTGGTAAGTATATAAAGAGGAGTTCACTGTTGTATTCGGAACTCTTTCCATGTGTGGGGACTGGTTAATATAGAGGCCAGCTTCTGAATTACCTGAGAATAGTACTCCATTGGAGATACCAGTCTTGGACCGAAGATGAAGAAACTGTTATCGTGAGTGTCTGTGCTAGTTGATCCTCTGCAGAGACTTTCAGAGTCCTTTACTAGCTTGATTACAGGTGTGAAGTGAAAGCTTGATTATCTGGAAGATTGGTGTGCCTATGTTGTGTCAGTAAATATTTTATTGATGAGACCAACGAATTTTAAGTTCACTAAGTGGAGATAATCCAAAGGACTTTGGTAACGATAGAGGTAAACACTCAATATTCTACCTCAGTTGACGACCTTGCCATAGATTTTTTCTTGCAAGAACATCAGGAAATGGCATCGCCTCGGAGATAGAGTGTATACGTTGTAGTGGATTCTAGGAATGCTTGGAAGAATTACATGGACCATCACTATAATGGTCCAATTCACATCCTTATTCATTATCGAATGGATGTTATTCTCAATTATATTGATGTTATCAATTGTTCCTTAAGGAACAATTTTTTAGTATAAACATCAATACGATGAGTAGAATCCTATAATGAGCTAATAAACTGAAGGTAGTATTAACATTCCTCTTTAGGCGACAATCAAGCATCATTTCTTCTCCCCCATTTGCTTTAAAATGATAATTAACTGATATATTTGAAAGCTTGGCCAGATATTCATAGTTGCTATCAATTTCTCATTGATTACCTCTCCTAGCTAAACCTCCAGGTTTTGATAATCTTTTATTTTAATAGTTACTTTGATAATTTCGGAAAAGCCTCTTATGGATTCACAGATTTCTGGGACAACTCTGGATTTTGTTGACATGCATTTATTTATAATTGGGGGTCGCAGGTTCATACGTGCAATAAGCTAGCTAGTAGACATGTGAGAGTTGGGCTTGCTGATCCCATTGATGTGCCTCGTTGTGATATATGTGAAAATTCGCCTGGTATGCAGATCTTTGACTTGCGTTTTCTCCTTGTATTATAGTATTTTGTTTCAATAAGATTATTAATTGTGATCTAAAAAAATAAATCAAAATAAACCATTTGTCCAGCATATTTTTATTGTGAAGTGGATGGAAGCTCCCTTTGTTTGCAATGTGATATGATTGTACACGTTGGAGGCAAAAGAACTCATGGAAGATATCTCCTGTTAAGGCAGAGAGTTCAGGTAATTTTTTTTTTTAACTCTTGTATTATGTCTATCTATGTGATTCTTTCGTATCGTTAAATTGGTCCTTACCAACGAATTACTTCCTTTGTTTTCTCTACAGTTTCAAGGAAGTACATCTGGCTGTGAAGAGGAGCTTGGTACACAACTAATGGATTCAGCTGAAAACAAGAGGGAATATACTAACTCTACCAAGCCAATTGTTCAAGATGAGAAGCAGAATCTCGAAGCCTCTGCCGTTCCAAATTTATACTCCGGTGCTGATAGACTTACTAAGATGGACACTGCAATGATTGATTTGAATATGAAGCCACATCGACTCCATGACCAAGCTTCAAATAATCAGGCATGCTTACTCTCTCTTGCAAATATAATCTCGAATTCTGCTTGTAGGAATTATTTCCTTTATCTTATACATGACAAGCTCAGCATTTCTTATAATTGGATGCATGACTTTGGTAACATGTAGTGGATCCAGTGAAGTCTTTGGAATATGTAGCCATTTATCATGAAATAGAAGAATTACTTAAATCATGTCAGTTGAAGAATATTTTTTTTTTCTTTTTTTTAGGTATATTTTTGAGTTTGAAGTTAGTTCATTATGTCGTCTCTTCACATATCTACCTAGGACACAAGTGACTGTTGCATTGAGAGTCCCAAGACTTGGCATTTGAACATTCCATTTGTGAACAGAAAATGGAGAGAATTAAAAGAAGTGCGTCTTTTCTTTTCTTTTTATGCAATTTCACTAGAAGTCATAAGGTTAAAGCATTTTATCCTAGTATGTAAAAATCAATGGATTTGTTCTTGCTTGACTTATAAATAATTTTCAAAATAAAGCTTTTACTTATTTTAGGATCTAATAAAGTAGGATGAATTGAGAGAGTTAAATAACTATCTTCAATATATTCGTCATTTCTTTATTTTTCGATATCCTATAAGAAATAAACGAAAGATCTTGTTGTTTCTTCAACAATTTCAGATCTCTAGTTGACCTCTCAGTAGAATTAGAACATAGATGAAGTCCTAACCATCTAAAAGAGAAAAATGAACAAATGGATCTTGCAAGATTCCCAAGAAATTCTTCGATTTCTTCCTGAATTGAATAGACGAGACAAGGAGCTGCATTGCCTTTAATCACTAAAAACATATTTTCTTTAGTTTGCTTTTCGGTGGTGAGGATTGGGTGGGGGTAAGCTGCATGAGTACTTCATTTGTGCACGATTATTTTGCTCTGTAAGCTGTATCAGATTCACGTCTGAAAAAGATGTGAAAAATTTGTGCACATGCACACACGAGAGAGAGAGAGAGACGAATATTTTACGTCATTGCAAATCTAAGTTTTGTCGTATCCCGATTAAGAACCATCTCTGCTCATTCAAAATAGCAAATAATATGTAACTAACTTCGTATCTAGTTCTAAAATATTATCAAGTATTTCATTTTTCATTTTTGAGAATTGTACCCATATGATCTCTAAAGCAAGGAATTTGGTTTTTGAAAACAGGAATTGTAGATCTGGCAAGGATCTCAGATGGCCTTTCTGACTACTAAATGCGTCCTTTCAAGGCCTACTCGAGAGGTTTTTGCAACTGTTTTTTGTTTCAACTCAGTCGCAAGAGTCAATAGGTGCCATTAGCGTCTTATTTTATATGGCTTGCAGCTAGAAATGAAATGCAGTTAGGTAAATTTGTTTGTAACTTTTGTGTCACCTAAGGTATACACATGCAAATACTGTTCCTGTTGAAATATCTTTCGAGTCTTATGATACTTTGTTTAGCTTAAACTGGTTTATTTTATGAAAATGGCTCTTCATGTCTGAGAAGTATATCTTGAGGTTCACCATATGTCCATTAAGATTACATCTCATAGGGGAGATGTCGATGATGGGATCTATATGGATTACTTGTGGTTAAAGGAATCGAGTTCTATGTTTGCAAACTCGATCCATTTATGACTTAAAACAATCGTCTAAATAGGGTATATGAGCTTTCATCAAGCCCTTGGGTTTTAACATTATCACGGAAGATCATTGTTATATATTAAATAGCCCACGAGAAATCTCATATAATCCTTTCATTGTAGGTCGATGACATTTTTAGAAACAAATGGTAAGATTACTTATTGCTTGTGAAGGATGGTCGACGTGTTTTATATTCGAGATCAATGACCTATTTGGCATGACTTTTGAAAAGTAAAAAACTATTTTTGAGCTTGTTTGATTACTTTTTTAGAAGTACTTTGTCTGATTAGAATTGTTTTTAGAGAAAGTTGATTTAAAATAACTTATTCAGAGTGCTTTCTTCTAAAACGGTCAGAAGCATAAGCACTATACCAAACAAGCCTCTAGTATAGGCTTCTTGGTTTGTCTTAGAATTTGCATGAGAAATTCCTAGGACTATTTCATATCCACCATTGCAAACCTGTTGACGCTCATACGACGACAAGTAAATTCTTAAACCAGAATACGCATCCAATAATCAAGATAAGGAAAGATGGCTCATCTTACGTGTTTCAGTGCATACTCGACCTAACAACTGTTACAATTAGTTAACAGGTTTCAATCCAATATTTGACTAACACATCATAAAACAGCTGGGGAGAAAATTCGAATACCTAAAACAGAAGTTGCTATTTGCTACCAAGGCATAGATTAGATCATAATTAGCCACAATAATGTCACAGTAGCACAAACTTTAATTAATAAGAAAGAGTAGATGTTATTAAAAAGAGAAGCTACAAGAGCTATGAGCAGAATACAGTTTTATCTTGGTTGCATCATAGGCTAAAAATTCAACAATGTGTAGATTTTGGTTCAGACAACTTAGTAGACATATCCCTTGACAAACATTCCTTTCTTGGCATCTTCGGACTCTCCCTCACCGGTGTATTTGCCAAGTTGAGCAAGAGAGTTGGCCTTTGCTCGAATAAGCAAAGTGTCCTGTGCTGCCTTCACATTCTCTGGTCTTCCTCCCCAGGTCTTGAGGCATGTGTTTTGAAGGGCTCGTGCATACGAGAATGACACGTGCCATGGGTTTGGAGCTTGGTTCATTGCATTCAAGTTAAGTGTGGCTTCCACTTCAGATTGCCCACCAGACAAGAACTGTGTGCAAAACAATTTAGTTTGTCAGGTTTATGAACTTGAAGGTTCATAGACACAGAGAAATGTTCGAGTACTTGCCATGATTCCGGGGACTGCTGGAGGGATTCTTCTCTTGAGGAGGCTGAGGGTGTATTCAGCAACCTGTTGTGGTGTGGCCTTATCCTTGCTCTCTGCTCCAGGAGTAACCATGCTGGGCTTTAAGAGAATACCTTCAAACATGACATTGTTCTCAGCTAGGTAGAAGAAAACCTCGGCCCACACCTTTTGAGCAACCTCAAATGTCCTATCAATCCCATGTTCACCATCAAGCAAGATCTCAGGCTCAACAATGGGCACCAAACCGTTGTCCTGCAAGATAAAACCAGGAAGTTGTCATATAGTGCATCAACACGAGGGGCCAATAACAGTTTCAGATTATCGCACTTGGGAAATGGCAGCATATCGAGCAAGACCCCAGGCTGCTTCCTTCATTGCAAGTGCAGACGGACCATTGGGAATGCTTACAACGGTACGCCTGTGATATAATATTGAAACAATGAGGTCCATAATAAATTGCACCAAGTGTTTACAACTTCAGAAGTGAGCCGTAATCTGTACCATTTGGCAAAGCGGGCACCCTGCTGGTAATAAGCAGCAGAACGAGAGGCGAGCCCATCAAGACCTTGGCACCAAGATTCATTGTTCGAACCAGCCAAGGGAACGAGACCCTAAGATATTTGATCATACACCGGTCAACATCATTATAGCATAATTGTTGATTTCAATGACGGATATGCATAGTAGAAAAGTAGTCAACTTACTTTGTCAACTTTGATCCCGGGAACAATTCCCTGCCCAACGAGTACATCGACCATCTTCTTTCCATCGGTGGTGGATTGGTAGAGCGTTTCCTCAAAAAGAATGGCACCTGAGATGTATTGGCCGAGTCCTGGAGCTGTTACGAGCAGGGTTCGGTATGCCTGACGGTTAGCCTCAGTGTTTTCGAGCCCAATGGAGGCTAGACGCTTCCCGCAGGTAGCGTTTGATTCATCCATGGCCAATATCCCACGGCCAGGTGATGCAACAGTTTTCTGGAATCAAAATCACAGTATCGTAATTGAAGCATTTGGTACTTAAAAGTACTTTTGGTTCTTCTGTAAGTACTTTTGCTGCAACTAATGATAATTAAGGGTCCTCCATTTTTAGGGTCACGTGCTATATATTGGTTCAAGAAAGCAAGGTGCTCCTACATTTTTAGGACTTCGCATGATTACAAGTTTGATATCAAACAAAAGATTAAGATAGGCAAATAGGTAAAATTGTACCGCAGTCTTGACAAGTTCATCAGCATAAGAGGTAGCCCGAACTGTGAAGGCGGAGGTCGAAACTGGTTGGCAGCGGACGATGGAAGCGGATGGGTGGCGGAGAGGCTGCCCTTTTACAAACTCAGACTTGTTAAGGACTAGTGATGACTTGAGAAGGGATGTTGATGCCATTTTCTACTTATCTTCGGCCTTCTCCCACCCCTACAGTTTGTATACTAGTAGTTTAACAAAAATTACACAAATATATAGTTCCTGATAGATATATATTTTGAGGCCATAAAACATTGACCAATCAACATGTGCCACGTGAGGTGATAACTTTCTGACTTGCCTCGAGACCTGAGAAGAAATTAGACACCATTTGGCATAGATATAAGAGGAAATTACATAAATTCAAGTATTTCAAGATCACATTTTCAAAATCAGATTTGATAAAAAAATTTCAAAAATCAGGTATCAATTTAAATTTTTTAGAGAGTGTTTGGTAAGGATTAAAATTAGATTTTTAGTAGATTGTGATAGAAGTTTTTGAAATGTGATTGAAAAATTGTGGGACATATGAAATGTGTGATTAATATTGATTGTTTGATTTTGACTTAGATTAAAATTAGATTTTAATCCGAACCAAACAAGGCTTTAATATCTTAAAATTAAATTAACTTCATCTACCCAAACCATAATTATTCATCACTCTTCCTTCTCTCTATCTCATTTTCTCTCCCTTCTCTCTCTTCTTTTCCCGATTTTCACATCTTCTTCTCTCTACATCTCTCCATTCTCTCTCTTCTTCTCTCCCTTCTCTCTCTTCAAACGCCGACGACCAATGAGGGAGTTGCGTCGGTCGACTACGCTGCGACATCAAAGGCTGTTAACGACGCTGCAATCGTTCTGTCGCAACGCTGATGTACTGATGTCCTCGCGAAGGCGGCTGCTGCTGTTTGATATACTGATGTCTGTCGCGACGTTGCAATCGCTTAGTCTATTAATCACGACGCTTGGCTGATAATGTTGTAGTGAGTTTTGTGTAGTGGGTGGTGGTGGTAGTGTTTTGTGTGGTGGCGATTTTATGGTGGTGGGTGGTGGATTTCGCGGTTTGGGTGGGTTTATTGAATTTTGGCGGTGGAAGTGGTGGTTTTGTAGTTGAAAATGGTGGTTTGTTGTTGGTGTTGGCAATTTGTTTGAGATGGAGATTTCGGTCACTAGTTGTCATGAGGTGGTGGGTTTTTGGCGACGTTGGTGTTGGCGCAATGGTGGTGGTTCTGGCTACGCCAAAGTGCACTACAGATTTGGGTAGTGTTTTTGTGTGGTGGTGGCTAGTGGGTGATGTGTGGTGTTGTTTTGGCGATGGTGACTAGTGGTGTTGCTGGTGCGGTGTGGTGTGGCGATGGTGGTGTTGCAAAAATGGTGGCCACAGAAGCGGTGGTACTAGTGGTAGTAATGGAAGTGGTGGTTGTGATATTTTTGTTGGAGGTGGTGTTGTTTTTGGGGGTTTGGTTGACCTGTGCCCAAATATTCGTGGTGGGTCGAGATCGGGGGTGGGGTGTTTGGTGCATGTGACCAACTATTTGGTTTAATGTGACTAACTATTAAAATGTGACCTTAAAATTCAAAAATTTGTGATGAACAAATTTGAAAATATGTGACCGATTGATGAATTGTAACCTATAATTTTTTTGATCTATGACCAATGAAATAAAAAGTAACGTATCAAAATTTTAATTTGTGACATCGAAATAATTTGTAACCAATTAATTTGATAATATGTGACCAGTAAATAAATCGTGACTCGTAAGTATGCATCTGTGACTATGAATTGTATAATTTTTATTTTAATATATTTAATTAATAAACTAAATACCTTATTTTTGTAATTGTAAAAGTTAATGTCTGATTTGTGAACTCTTCCCTAGTTATAAAACTAGGCCCGGAAAACCGGTGGCCTGGACGCTTGACCAACAATAGTTCAAGAAATTGATGGTATAATTATAAACTTGGGAGCCCAAACTCAGAGAGGTTTACCACATCAAAGTTCGGGATCAAGATGTACAGTGCCGTGAGTCAATTTGAAGCTCGCGTTAGAAATGGCAAAAAAACTCGACAAACCCGATATTCGGGGGCCCCGCCCTGAACGAGGCAGGGATTAGGGATAACTCGCTTAATCGGTATTCGGGACGGGGACGGGTAACGCCCCGCCCCCTGCCCCGCCCAGCCCGATTTTAATTTTTTTTTTTTTTTAAAGAATTGTCTAAGTCTAATGAATTGGGACAATAAAAATAAATTTTAAAAAAAATTTTTAAAAAATTAAAATGGGCAGTAACTCTTGCTATCGGGGATCAGAGATGGCATGAAGCCCCAGCTTTGTCCTAGCATTAGTCAGGGAAAACATGATACACACACCCTACTCTTATTTTTTATGCTTTTAAATTTAAATTCATACTTAAAACAAAATAATTTTCAAAAAATAAATAAATAAGTAAATCAGAGAACGAGATTGGAAAATGAATATATTTTAATTTTTGCCCATGCTCTTCTGCCTCCAAAAATCCTATCGGGGAATGTCCGTCCAATTGTCATCCTACTTGCTTTCTACCCATGCAACGCAATTTCTTTTATTTGATTGTTTTATTTTAAATAAAACCAAAAATTAAAACAAAAATTGAGGTTCTGATTAGTCTTGAGTTCAAGAAGGAAAAATCTGTTTGTCTTGCCACCCTGGTGTACAGATGCATTGCAGAATTCTAGCGATCGGAAAATAAATGTGATTTTGTTGTGGAAGATTGTGTAAGATTTTGTTAAATGTAAAATTTATAAACAAAGTGGCAAACGGGGTGTACATGTAGCATGACTCGTTCAAGAATAATAAGTAGGGTTATACTAGCAAATTGATGGATCATTATCACGTCACACTATCTAATATTATCTAATTCACTTTATTAAATATGTCATTGATGATTAATAAGACCATATACTTGAGTTTGTTGACTTAATAGTTGAGTTGGTTAGGTTAGTTTGCCAACTGTACTTTGCCATCTGTAATTTCTTCTCTTCCCGCTCTTTTTCTTTTCTTTCCTATTTAATGTATTCACTTAACTCTTTTCCATTATGAGATGAATAAAATATATGCCAACTGTACTTTGCCAACTGTATTTTCTTCTCTTCCCGCTCTTTTTCTTTTCTTTCCTATTTAATGTATTCACTTTACTCTTTTCCATTTTGAGATGAATAAAATATCTTTGATTCAATTCTTCAAATGTAATATGGTATCAGAGCATTTTGGGGAAAATTGAACTGCATGATTTGATTATTCTGTGTTCATCTTCGATTCAATCATCTCCATAGCTTCGATCATATCTTCGACAAATTCCAAATCGCGACCCGCGATTTTCTCATCTCAGATTCTGCATTTTTTTTCTGTCTGTTTCTTTGAATCCTTCCCATTTCAGCTCAATTTTCTTTTAATTCTTTATTCCTATCTAATGGATCAACTCATTCATGAAAGAGCATCTGATTCTAGGTTTACCTTCACGAAATCCATTGTGGATGAGCCTTCAAGTCCGTATTTCTTACACCATTCTGATAGTCCTGGTTTGGTGCTTGTAAATCAACAGCTCAGAGGAGAAAACTATGGCTCCTGGAGTCGAACGATGACTATCACGTTATCAGTCAAGAACAAGCTTGGATTCGTTGATGGATCCATGAAGAAGCCTGAGATTACTGAGGGTGATTTACTTAACTCATGGATTAGAAACAATAACATGGTAATATCTTGGATTCTTAACTCTGTCTCCAAGGATATCTCTGCCAGTGTGATCTATGTTTCTTCTGCCTACGAGATCTAGAATGATCTGAAGGAACGTTTTCAACAAAGTAATGGTCCGAGAATTTTTCAGTTGAAAAAGGAACTGATGAATTTAATGCAAGATCAGAACACAGTGAGTGTATTCTTCACTAAACTCAAAACTATATGGGAAGAATTGACCAATTTTCGACCCAATTGTAGCTGTGGGAAATGTGTGTGTGGCGGTGTTCAAGAACTAAATAAACATTATCAAATGGAGTACATCATGGCCTTTCTTATAGGACTACATGATTCTTTTTCTCAAGTGTGAGGTCAAGTTCTCCTGATGGATCCTGTTCCATCTATTAATAAGGTGTTCTCACTAATTTCACAAGAAGAGCACCAGAGGAAAATGCATTCAGCTACAACTGATGTTCTTCAGATGGAGGAGCTGCTTTTGCCTTTAGAACTGATAATAGCAAAGAAAGGACTAGTTCTGGTTTTCGAAGTGCATCTGGAAATTGGAAAAGGGATAGGCCATATTGCACCCATTGCAAATATCATGGACACTCTATTGATAAGTGTTATAAAGTCCATAGGGTTCCACCAGGATTTAAGTCAAAGCCGAGAGATAATTTTCAATATTTTCCTAAGAATAACACTGTTAATCAAATTTCTGTTAATCCACAGATCGAAGATCATCCGCCTGGAGTTGACAAGTTCATGCAGAACTTGAGTCCTAACTAGTATCAACACCTGATGACAATGCTCTCTACTCACCTGGCTTCTACTTCGTCACACACTTTGACTGATAAGGATAAGGCTGAATCATCATATGCTGCAGGTATATATGTCTCTAAGTCAGTTAAATCATTTTTTGATGCAAAAGATATATGGGTTGTGGACTCAGGAGCTTTAAGGCATGTATGTCGCATTGCTGCTGCCTTTACAAATTTGAGACCTATTTCTGATTCAACCATTACTCTGCCTAATCACACTAGCATAACTGTCAGTTTATGTGTAGATGTGAAACTAGGACCTGATTTGGTTCTTCATGATGTGTTGTTTGTGCCAGAATTTAAGTTCAATTTGATGTTAGTTAGTGCATTGACTATTGGATCTCATATCAGTGTGCAATTTTTTTATGATCAGTTCATAATCCGGGAAGTTTCCACCATGAGGATGATTGGCAAGGGTAGCATCCTACAAGGCCTATATGTTCTGAACACAAAAACCTTTAATTCTGTTTCAAGTATTTTTGTTAATTCTGTTTCTGCCCGGGTATGGCACAATCGTCTTGGTCATCTTTCATTCAAGAAATTAGATATACTGAAAGACCAATTGCTGTATAATTCTGAATTCTCAAATAAACATTTACCTTGTTATATCTGTCCTTTGGCAAAACAGAGGAGGTTGCCTTTTGATTCCCATAATCATCTTTCTGATAACGTTTTTGACCTAGTGCATTGTGATATATGGGGTCCATATCACGTGTCTTCACATTCCGGCTACAGGTATTTCTTAACACTAGTGGAAGATCATTCTCGATTCACCTGGATATATATGTTGAACCAGAAATCTGATGCTATAAGGATTGTTCAACAATTTTTCAACATGGTTGCTACTCAGTTCAATGCTTCGATCAAAATCTTCAGATCTGATAATGCTAAGGAATTATCATTCAAAGAATTCTTTGCAAAAAGGGGGGGTTTGCCATCAGTTCAGTTGCGTTGAAAGGCCCCAACAGAACTCAGTAGTTGAGCGCAAGCACCAGCATATTTTCAATGTAGCTCGTGCCCTTTTCTTTCAATCTCGGGTTCCTATTCGTTTTTGGTCTGAATGTGTACTTACAGCTGTACATCTTATCAACAGGACCCCTGCTCCCATTCTACATCACAAGACTCCTTTTAAGTTGCTATATGGGAACAAGGCAGACTATTCCTACTTCAGGGTTTTTGGCTGTCTTGTCTTTGCTTCAACTCTTAGTGCTCACAGATCAAAGTTCCAACGGGCCAGAACCTGTGTTTTCCTAGGATATCCTCCAGGAATTAAGGATTCAAGCTCCTTGATGTTATCTCTAAACAAATTTTCGTTTCTAGAGATGTCGTTTTTCACGAGGACATCTTTCCTTTTCATTCTATTACTGATGATCATCAATTATCTGATCCATTTCCTGATCTTGTGTTACCATCGTCTTCATTGTCCTTACCACAAGATGTTTTGACTACTACCTCACTTCCATCATCTTCTCCTGTCCTTCCTGTTGAACCTATTGTTCCAACATCCACCTCTGATCCTATTTCTACTCCTGCCTTTGATCATACTTCCCAATCTAATGTTTCATCTACATCTACCATTCGAAAATCTCAAAGAGTCTCTAGACCTTCCTCTCGTCTTCGGGACTTCCACTGTAATCTGCTTTCCTCTATTCCCAGATCTTCTCATTTTCCTCCTAATCATATTGGGCATTTCTTATCCTATGACACTCTTTCTAAATCCCATCAGCATCTTATCATGAACATTACTTCTCAATTTGAACCTCAATACTATAGTCATGCAGTCAAATTTCCTCAATGGCGAGACGCCATGAAGATTGAATTAGAGGCTTTAGAACAAAATCACACCTGGTCTATTGTTCCCTTACCTACTGGGAAACATCCAGTGGGATGCAAATGGGTTTATAAAAACAAGTATAACTCTGATGGCACTTTGGAAAGACACAAAGCTCATTTAGTTGCTAAAGGATTTACACAAGCAGGTTTGGATTACTTTGACACTTTTTCACCAGTCGCTAAGGCAGTTACTGTTAAGATATTGCTCACTCTTGCGGCTTCCCAGAACTGGCACTTGATTCAACTTGATGTTAATAACGCGTTTCTGAATGGTGACCTATTTGAGGAAGTCTATATGGATTTACCTCTTGGCTATGATCTCTTAAGCCTCACACTCAGGGGGCGAATTTGGTCTGCAGATTGCATAAATCATTGTACGGTCTTAAACAAGCTTCACGACAATGGAATTCCAAGTTTTCTAGTGCTCTTATTCGCAATGGTTTTATCTAATCCAAAGCGGATTATTCTCTTTTTACCAAGGGTTCAGGCAATGAATTTATAGGATTATTAGTCTATGTTTATGACATAGTCATCACTGGTCCAAATTTAAAGGTTCTTGATGAGTTGAAAGATTTCTTGAATTCTCAGTTTAAACTAAAGGATCTGGGGTGTTTAAAGTACTTCTTAGGTATTGAAATTGCTCGAGCATCATCAGGTATAGTAATTTCACAACGAAATTACACTTTACAGCTAGTTGAAGATGCAGGTTTTTTGGATTGTAAACCTGCAAATACTCCTATGGATTCCAAACTTAAGCTTAGTTTACATGAAGGAGATTTATTGGCAGATGCATCTCAATACAGGAAACTCATTGGAAGATTGATTTATTTGACTCTCACCAGGCCAAACATTATTTTCACAGTCCATAAATTGAGTCAATATATGTCTCAGCCAAGGTTATCTCATCTTAAAGTTGTTCATCACTTAATCCGTTATCTGAAAGGTAGTCCTGGCCAAGGCATTTGTTTCTCTGCAGCTCCTGCTATGTCTGTTCAGATTCGAGCATTCTCAGATGCTAATTGGGGTTCATGCCTAGATACACGTAAATCTACTACTGGTTTCTGCATTTTTGTTGGTCCTTCGATGGTCTCCTGGAAGTCTAAGCGCCAATCCACCATTTCTCGTTCATCTACTGAGGCAGAGTATAGGGCTTTCGCGGCTACTACCGGTGAAATTGTATAGATCAAGCAGCTTCTGGTCGATTTTCAGGTTGCCACCAATCTTCCAGCCATGATATATTGTGATAATCTTGCTGCTCTTCAGATTGCCAATAATCCAATCTTCCATGAACGGACGAAGCATATTGAAATCGATTGTCACTTCATTCGGGAGAAGATTGCAGCTGGGGCAGTTAAGGTGCTTCCCATCCGGTCTCAACATCAGCTCGCAGATGCCTTCACTAAAGCTTTACCTGCTTCTGTTCTTGTTCCTTTGTTATCCAAGATGTGTGTGAAAAACATTCATCGCACATCTTGAGGGGGCGTAATAAGACCATATACTTGAGTTTGTTGACTTAATAGTTGAGTTGGTTAGGTTAGTTTGCCAACTGTACTTTGCCACCTGTATTTTCTTCTCTTCCCGCTCTTTTTCTTTTCTTTCCTATTTAATGTATTCACTTTACTCTTTTCCATTTTGAGATGTATAAAATATCTTTGATTCAATTCTTCAAATGTAATAATGATTTATCTTTATGCTCAAGGAAGATTGATTCCTGGAATTATGTTAGACAAATGCAACAATACATTTATGCTTCTTCCTCATCGATTTTCCTAGAGAATGGCTCTCGTATTAAGCCCTTATTTGGTTCAACTAAAAATTAGATTTTTAATAAATTTTGATAGAAGTTAATAAAATATACAATTAAAAAATTGATAAAAGTTATAAATCTCATTTAATGAGTGATTAAAAATGAGTATGAAAAAAAAAAAAAAGAATGAGGACTAAGCGTTAGCTTAATTCATAATTCTCAACCGGACTCGATACAATTCATTTTTGAGTAAAATTTACCAAGAAGATCCTTACCGAGAAAGATATTCTTTAGAGAACACGGCCAAAACCAAGTGACATCACGATTAACCGTTATCGAAGCGACCAATATAGATCTTTGGTTGCAGTCTCACAGGAACCTTGGCTTAATATGTCCAAATAATGTATAGTAGGAGCCTCTGTGGACAGGGTTGAAATAAAAATTCGTCCATAAATTTTTATTTTTCTAGTAGTTTTCACATTACCAGAGCCACAACTTCAAAATATCAATAGCAGCACAGAAAAAAATGTCACACTGATACATTAATAAATACAAATTGCCAAAATCCACAATCATTCCAAGAATTTCATAGCCATAAGAAACCAGTTTCAGACCACCTGGAATAAGCAAAATAAATTTTCAGCAAGTTATCAAATAGGAACTCAGTCAAGAAAAACTGTCAACAATCCAAACAACGAACACGAAACTCTTTCCATTAGTTTGTATCTCTTACCTCGAAAATACACGCATTAGTTAGTGTTCTTGTACTAATTGAAGGTATGTAACGCACTTAAACTTTCCAAATACGAAGACACGAAATTACATTATGTTTACCCGTCAAAATTGAGACATTTACAAAATTTTCACGCTCTATCTAAGGTAAGTAGAAGCAATCCAAAGGAAAATGTAGCTTATCAATGAAGTAGTCACTTCCAAACTTCTTGGTCCTTTGAGAATGGGTGGCATCACAGAGACCATCAAAAATGTTCCTAGAAGCCAAGAGATGACGAAAGTCCCAGCCCTGAAAACATTGAAAGGCAGCAGAGATTTAAGCAAGAAAGTTCAGAACAGTCAAGGTCAAGTTGAAAAAGAGTCTATATATAAAGCTTACACAATGCATTCTTTTGCACTAAATATAATTTTTTTTTTTCGCACAATAACGAAAATTTATTGAAAAAGCCCAACTTGTGGCAGAAGAAAACCGTGATTACACAATTCAATCATCAGAAAGAAAAACTTCGTCTAAGATTAGGCAATTCCCAACGGTCTGTACACAATATTCCTCTAAGAAGAGTTGGATGGGAGCACCTCATGAGCCTGAAGCTACTCGAGAGCCCCTAAATAAATCAAACTGAGGGATCGGGTTGCAGCTGGGAGATGTGAGAGTGAATGGAGAGGTGGAAGGGTTTAACGAAGAAGAAGATTCTTGAGTTATGGGTGGTTACAGTTTATTATTTTTGTGGAGCAAACCTAGACAATTAGTCGCCTTTGACGAGCATCAGATGTTTGAAACAAACCAAGAAAGGAACAGGAATAAAAAGAAAGCATTCCTCATCCTCAAACAGGTCCAATCTTTATATCTGCCCATGTCTGAATCGAATGGTATGTATGCAAGTTGCACCATCGCTCCAGTTATTCAAGAGGCAATGCAATTCGTATCAAGCAATACTATTTTCACAAGCGTTTTAAATCAATCCATCATTGGAAGGAATCTAAATGAAGAAATGTGAATATTGATCTGTGTTAGTGTGACAAGATATGTAGGAAAAAGAATAGAGGAAGAAGAGAGAACAGAGATGAAATCTGATTTGGGAGAGTGAAATGAAATCTCTCAATGTGCAACCACATTTGAAAACAATGGTGTGGGTACTACAAATTGCTTCTCCTCCCTCAGGTTTAACTAGAGCATCCAATCGACCTATATCTAATAATGAGGAGAGGTGAGTCAGATGCTTTGAGCGTCAATCAAAAGGGTGTCACAATAGTACAATTAGGCACATACTGCGAGATTTTGGAGAAAGCTCAAGTAGTCACCTTCTACGAGCATCAGACCAACAAAGTGCCCAAACATCAGCCAGGCTAACTCACACACATAAGTGGAACAAAGTGCCAGTCAGGGCAATACAAATGAGTGCCATACGGCCCAAAGGAGGGCTGGATAAGAATATTGTTTGGTGGGGTGGAGAGGAACAAGGGGTGCGTAATAAGTAAGGTCATATTGAGATTTTGATAAAAATATATTTGCTTGCATAATTTTGAAAATAAAGGCCTAATTTCATTTTGTCCATCTAACTCGATCCTTCCCTAATCAGCAACCTCTTATTTATATGCACTAGTTAAAATGCACACCGTATCTAGAAATTAGAGCTAGTCACTATAAATATGAACATGGTATGTAAATAAATTCTTTTAACTTTATTGTAAATCTAGGACATCCCTGGGTCTAAAACACGATAACTTCATGTAGCAATAACAAAAGCTTACCCATAAAGAAAACCTCGGAGTTTGCTCTTCAGCCGATCATAGATGAAATACATGGTAACTAATAAAGAAATGGCAACTTGAAGGGTAGGGCCTTCTTCAGTTGGAAGGAGTACCGTGAGCACTCCGAGCACCATAAATGCAATGGAAGTTTTTATGATGAGATTCCTTGATGGAGTTCTGAACCTGCTCACAACAGCCTGCACAACAGGAGACTGGGTTACTTCCCTGACCTTTTTCTTGATGTTGATTTTAGGGTTCTTCCTTTCGTAGAACTTTTGCATTATTATTTTATCATGTGCTGATTCAATGGCATCCACACTTGGTTTGTGCCCTCCGTATGTTCGTATTAGAAAATTCCTGGCTGCTTGAATTTCATCTTCAGAAGCTTCCCTACTAATTCCAAGTCGCTTATATGGATCCCTTACATTGATTCTCGGAAATATCGCCGAACCTGGAAAAAAGGAAGAAGATAAAAGCTTCCAGAAATTTCAGATTGCTAATTTACAATAGTTATTGTCAGAGATGCGTAACAACCAGACAGAATATTAAGAATTATAAGTGTGCTAAGAGCAAGAAATCAAGGTTTATTTACAAGGGAATATAATGATACCGTTGGCAATTTTATGAAATGTAAAAAATTACATGTTAAGTACCAGCAATGTTATAACCAATATTTATATTAGGCATGGGAGTTCTACAACACCAAATATGACAAGAAACAAAGGCTCTACCTATCCAACAAAAGTTTGTCAAAAGGAAGACAATACTTTCTCTTTCTGTATGCAAAGTTTTAGAAATAAGTGAGAACAAAGGTATGATCGCTTATGACTTAATCAGGTATGAATCTGTGGTCCTACCTGATAGAGATAAAGATAAGGAGAAGCAACTAGTCGCTTCCCAAATGCCTCTTTATAGAGTTTAGATAGGATTTTAAATTAGAGTTTAATTCAAACTATGTTTATTTTAATTAGAATGGATTGATTTTAATAATTCGTTAAAGTTCTAGTTTATTAGAAATTCTATTAGTTTTAGATTATTTTTTCTATAGATAGAGGGCTTATTTATTGTAATAAATTCCCTTGATTATATGAATAAAATCATTTCTTCTTTGCTCTCAATTATTCTCTTCTTGGACCCTGTTTCTATTCTTGTTCTCAATTATTTGTTCTCAAATTAATATGCTCCTGCGTTAGTATCAAAGCGAGTATTTTCCTTTGACCTAACAAATTTCATTCTCAAATCCAAAAATCAACATCCCAACCAACTGTTTCCATTTAATCCATACACATACGGCAATCATCCAAAATTCATCCAACCCTATAACCACCTTTCATACACAACCACCTTTGAACAGCAGAACACAAGAAGAATTTGTTTCAACAGCAATCAAAGGCACAATTTTTTCTTCTTTTTAGTTAGTTGAAAAAAAAAATCTGAAAAAAATCCCATAAAAATGTAGTACTTAGTTTATCTGCTGTTTAGTTGCTGTTTCAATTTCAAAAAAATCGGTTTCCTTTCGGTGATTTCTTGCTGCTCCGGATGCAATTTTAGCCCAGAAAAATATATAACAAACCCTATATTATATATAAGACCAAATAGCCACAGATACCAAGCCCAGTAGCCCCTTAACCTAAAACCCAGTCCAAGCCAATTACCACAACAAGCCTATTATCACACATACCCTAGCCCAACAACCCACCTATCCTAGCCCAATTACAAATAATCACTTCAAAATCAATATCCAAAAAAAGCTTAGCCCACTTTTCGAAACCCAAAAGTCCATTAAACCACGGGCAACTTACAAAAATACCCTTAAAATTAGGGGTCTTTTGAAAAATCATATGAAACATATTTGGGAAGTAAAAAATACTGTGTAAAATTAATTGCCACTTTTTTAATAGAAAAAGTGACACAATCAATAAAAAGTGACACTGAAAAAGTGACTCAATGTCACTTTTTAAATTTAAGTCACTTTTTTTATTAAAAAATGACATACAATGTTACTTTTATTAAAAAATGATGTCACTCAAAAAAGTGAGAAATTTCAAAGAATTGACAAAAAAGTAACAAACATTAAAAAAGTGATAAAATTTTAATAAAAATTAACAAACACTAAAAAATAGTGATGAATTCAAAAAAGTGACGAATACTAAAAAAGGGACAAGTTGGCAATTTTCATGTTGGTGTAACACAATTGAGTTGTTATTTGCCCAGTCGAGGCATAGCAGAATACCTAGTGCAATATGGTTATTGATATATACAACCCACCTTAACAGAGGTATACCTTCTTTCTTTAGTATTCATTTTGAGAGGTGAATGCTCTCACAGGTCAATGAGTTGTATGAGTTCAATCCTCAAATTGAATGAATACTTTAATTACTATGTTAGGCTATGTGTTTAAATGTCAAGTTCTTCAAAGTAGTACTTTTAGGTTTCATAAATTGTAACATATTAATCAAAACAGTCAAGGAAGCAAGTTCAATCCTGATTTTATGATCAATAAAAATTATTGGACAAATGAATTGTATACTTTCCCAAGTTAGAAGTATCTAACATGAATACATAAAAAGAGTTAGGACGGAGATATGAGTATCACTAATTTGCTACTCAGAAGGCAACTTTCTGAAAATTATGATGCCATGCCTAGAAATTCCATGTAAAATACAATAGACAATTCAAGTTTTGGCATGTTACTGACACCATTATGCCTTCACCATTTATTACTATGAACCTTTTAAAAGGGTAAATTCCAATTGAGACATTTTGTCAAACACTTTGATAGTATCCTAGAAAATCAAAGGGAAAGGGTTTACCATAGTTTTGGAGCCAATTCCAAATTTAATGACAAATTTTTTATGCATTTTTACACAAACGCATCACAATAATATTCCAGAAATTCAGAAAACCGGCAATATAGTTACAACGATTACAGGATCAATTTGGTCTTCACCATAAACAACTGAATCAACATCACGTGCTCAAAATTCAAAATGGCTTCTCAAGAGCTGTTCTTAATAATCACAACAGGGCATTGTTCATGGTTTGAACAATAGTTGCTTACACTTCCCAAAAAATCCTTTTTAAGGGGACCAAAAGCACGAAACCCCATCACTAGTAAATCAGCATTCAACTGCTCTACAGCTTCACAAATCTTCTCCTTTGGATCCCCAACGAGTACTTGCGTTTTCGTTTTAACAAATTTGAAGAGCATGATCCAAAATAGCCTCTGTAATTCCTTTCTGGTGAGCCTCAATTGCCTCAGTGATTGCAGGCACCTCCAGATCGCCTTAACTGGGACAGCCAAAAGGGATTAAGGCCAACTGCTATAGTCGGCAGAGATTAAGACTCGGATTTTCCCTTCTGATTTGGGTTTTTGTCGTAGGTGATGAGGTTTTGAACGTAATTAATACGGTAATAGTAGTTTAAGTTAATTTTAAGGTAGTAATCAAATCCATAATTTTTTTAGGGTACTGTACCTAATTTTCCCTTAAACCAATTTACTCAATCCATTAACCCAAGGCCATCAGCAAGCACAGTTCAACAGCCAAGTAGAAGTTGTCTACTTGGTTTCTTGCAATTCAATTTAATTTCCAAAAAAAAAAAATTCGAGAAAAGAAGTAGTTTCATTACGTGCCTCTGCTACCGTGTCCCTTAGTAGTTGTTCCAAAAAAAAAAAAAATTCTACTATTTTCAGAATTTGTAATCATTTTTAATCATATTGATTGCATTAGCGGCTTAGAAGAATTTAATTGGAACAGCCTACCATCACTTGTGTGCTCTACCATCGTAGCCGTGTCAACTTTAGGTCATGATTTGGACATTGTTTGGCTCTTTTGAGCATCATGAGGTACAAATTTCTTATATGTTGAAAACGCGCATTTATTTCGGTTTTCTAACTTGTCAAATTTTATTTTTAAAAAAAAAAAAAAATATTTTCTTTCTTTCCATTTAAACAAATAATATATAGAAAAAAATTGCTTTGTCTCGACACTCCCCTTAACATCATGTACAATCCTTATAACAACTCTTATGCCTACATCAAGCCCCTAGATCGTTACCACAATAGTGTATCTTCCCCTTCCTCTTACCAATACAATAATCCCCAAACTAGAAACTATGTCAAGGATGTTGATTATCTTTCTAGATATGTAACATATGTTCCATTACAATGGTAGGACTTTAATTGTTGGACTGGTCCAGAGTCATTTCTTGATTGGCTCGATAATCTTGAATGTTCTTTGTCTTTTACAACTTCAGTGACTTGCATCGAATTTATCATGCTAATATCTCACTAGTCATGCTAAGAGTTACTAAAAATCATTTTTACATAATCATCTAGATCAATGTCACTTTGTAGGATAAAATAAAACAAATGTTAAGTAACAAATATACCCATGTATATTATCGAACTTAATTGTTAAATCAGGCTTTTTTTTTTTTTTTTTTTTTTNCTTAATTGTTAAATCAGTTTTTTTTTTTTTTTTTTTTTTTGCATTGTAGGCAGGATCATCCATTATTAGTGAGTATCTAGCCTATGTCAATGAACTATTGCACAATTATCATATTTATGAAACTCACTAAATCACGGAATCTAGGTTTTCAATGGTTTGAATCTTGAAATCTTGCCTAATGACATTCTCGCACACCAATCTTTAGATGAAGCTTATCGACGGACCAACATTTGGTACATATATTTTCAAATTCATAAACCATATAAAAAACTAAGCATACCACTCCAGTGACTTTCTAAGTCTAGTTGTGTTAGTCTTCCTAGAGAAGAAAATGAGATTTCTACTATTATACTTATTGACTCTTCTGATAGCGAGAATGAGAGTTTTGAAACTTGTCTCGTATTTCCTCTTACACCGGTTTTGAACATGATTGACCATGATATAGTTGAGGAATTACTTATAGCATAGTCATCTAAGCCAAACATTCCATGTGTCATTGACCTCATACCAAAATTGTTATAGCATACTCCTTTGCATGACTTTAAGGTTGACTTTGTGGCGTTACTTCAAGATAAAACATCGACCTCCTTGGAGTAAGAAGTTCTACTCTACCTAACCAAAGTCGAGTTCTCTCAGCCGAGGCTAAATTATGGAGAAAAAGATAAGGATAGAGATAAAGTTTAGAAATGATTTTAAATTAGAGTTTCATTCAAACTATGTTAATTTTAATTAGATTAGACCCCAAGTATGATGAAATTGGATAGATTAAGTTTTATTAATTCGATAAATTTCTAGCTTATTAGAAGTTCCATTAGTTTTTAGATTATTTTCTCTATAAATAGATGGCTTATTCATTGTAATAAATACCCTGGATTATATAAATAAAATTATTTCTTTTTTGCCATCAAATCTTGTCTTCTTGGACCTCTTCTCTTCTTATTCTTCAATTGTTCGTTGTCAAATTAATACACTCATGTGTCACTACCCCATGAGAAAAATCAATAATTCTTAGCCAATAACAAAGTAGCAGTATTTCATGTTAAGCATTTAGACCTTACTGAGTAAACCCAACAAACGGCTTTAGGAACAAAGTGTAGATTGAAAGCTGTTTTATCTTGACTCCATAATCAAATAAATTCCAATTAGTGGTCTCGTTTCCCCCACACATCAACAAGGAGACTAATCATCATTCATTCATTATCTTGAAAATGGTCACACTGATTCCCACCAGTGTCATGTCCTCAAATATAAGAATCCACCAGACACTAAATGGCTGAATCAATAATCATTCCTTACCACCATACATCAATGATTTAACTACACGTCTTCAATCAAACAGAATCAAGAAGTAACTATGCAAAGCACAAAGTTTACCAGCTGACTCATTTGTAGCATCACTATAGGACGCATCCATTGCGCATTTGAGCGAAGGAGTACTCCATATACGTTGCTGAGTCGAACCAGCCGAACTTTGTCTGTGAAAATCAAGATGAAAAATAAAGTTTAGTACCTATGATGCATACAACTACATACTACACAGTATATTATACATACCCGTGTAAACAAAGCAAATCCTTAGATCTCCTAATATTAAGAAAAGAAGTAACTCGGTCATTACTTGACCCCGCATCTCTTGCAGGTAATTGAAGGCTACATCTCAAGGGGCTACAAGTTAATCCAGATGATGACATTGTTGAGTCTCCAGGTAATTAATTTTTAGCCTCAGCACCCTGCAACTTGACTTGGCAGGAACAAGTCAAAGGCTGCAATGATGAGAAAAAAGAAAAGATTAAGCATGGATGGAATGGAAAAAGCATGCCCAAAGACTAATACACATAGAAAATCCACTTCATCATAACTGAGAAACATCTCTAGATCTGATCAAAAAAAAAAATATCAAAATAATGTTGTACATGAAGTACCATCAATGAGATCATGAACAGATCAAAAAGAAGCATATAATGAAAAAAAAAATACAGGCACTCAAACCACTGTTCGAAGGGTGAAAGGAGAATATGGCATTTTATGCTTCCCAAACTGAGTCAAAAGCCCCAATATATGCATGCCTTCAATTTAGGCACTTTCTAAATATGTAACTTAAATATATATGGCTAAAAATGATAGAAAAATTAAATATTTAATTACAAATGCATAATTCATCATCCAAAAAGAAAAGCAATAAACAATGTAAAAACTCAAGAAAGTCTATATGAACTTCTAAAAATTGAAACAGAATATATGAATCCTAAAACTTGAAGTGGATTGTCAATAAACTCTCAAATTATATTAAGTATACAAATGATAATATCATGATTACTGTATTATCTAAAACGAAGTTTTTTTTCAAATTTCATGTTTTTTTTTTTTTTTTTNTGAACCCCTTTCGGTTTAATTTTGCTAACCAGTATATTTAAAAAATAATAATAAATAAATAAATAAAAAGTAACAAAATTGAAACAATACATAGAAGGGAAAAAGTTAGAATCTCTAACCCCATTTCCCCAAACCGGGGCACAAGAGAATTTAGTTAATAACCCAAATAGTTACTGAATTTTGCAAAAAAGTTTTCACGTGGTCACTGAACTTTAAAAATCGCCTCAAGTCATCACTGAACTTTGCAAAAGGTTTACACGGTGATGACTTGGGTGATTTTTAAAGTTCGATGACCATGTGAAAACTTTTTGCAAAGTCCAGTGATCATTTGGGTTATTAACCTAGATGATTTGATATGTTTCACTCTCAATAAGTTGGAGTTAGAGCAAGAACAAGAAAAGATAACCCTTCTTTTTTAATAACCGTGGGTATCCGGACCAATTTGTACGTATCTCGACTAATCTTACTAGGCCTGAAGTTTAACAAGTGCTCACCTGCCCGGAGGGAAATCGAAAAAGATAACCTTTAATTCAATCATATCCTTCTTTTTCTCTTTCTATCCATTTTCATTCTGATTTACATCCATTCAATTGCTGATAAAAATGAAAAGAGCAATGCTACATTGCCCAAGTTGGATGACAAAAGGGGGAGTGCCCAAGTGAGGTGGCACTCCCCCATTGGAAGGGTCGGCCGGTGTCATCCAACTTGGGCAATGTAGCATTACACAAATGAAAAACTCCACGGAATTCTACTCGCAACAGCAAACTGTAAAACTTTAAACTTTTGATTTCATCAAATACATTTGTTCCAAATATTTTCCAAAGGAAAAAAACCATTTTTCACTAACATCTACCATTAAACATAACAGCTAATGTCTTTAATAATAATAACTAGTCATATCCCTTAGCCTACAAAAGCACAGAGACAATCCAAAATATATCTAATCACAGTTTTTGCATATACAAGAAAAAAGAAATAGTAATATTCAGCTTTATTTAGCTACTAATTGGAAAATTAACCGCAAAAAGTAGAAAAGTATGAAGAAAATAAGACTGCAAGGAAGTAAGTGAGGTACCTTGTGGCTTGTCGTTGAAGAAGAAATTAACAATTTTTCTGGAGAAATGAAAACTTTAGCAAAGGTCAATTTAAGAGCGAGCAACGGATAACAGGGGGCGGCACGGGAAAGAGGGTTTTCTCTCTCAAAATTTCTCTTATTTTTATTTTTTTTTTAATCTGCATACATGAGAATGGGTAAAAAAAAAACTGGGGGTAGTCACTTAATTTGAACATTGTTTCAATTTAGTTACTTATCTTTCAATTGTTTCAAAACGGTCACAAAACATAATATTTTGTTTTTAGATTTGTCTCCATAATATTTGTGGAAATTAGAGATGGAGATAAATTAACGGGTAATTGGCTAGTAATGCCCATGCCTTTCGACATTATTGTACAAACCTTTTCTTTCTTCCATTTTTTAGTATTTTCATCATTAATTACACATTTGATTCAGTCTATTTTCTATCAATTTCTCCGCTGAATGAACACGTGTAATCAATTTTCTTTTTAAAATGGAAGGATAATATTGTCTTAAAAAAATTTGTCCATTTCTTCCCTTGCGCGTGCACAATTTCCTTGAGATTTCTCTTCAGTAATTTGTCCCTTTCTTCCCTGAGCATGCACACTTTCCTTGAGATTTCTCTTCAATATTTTTTTATCGGAACAAAGATACTTCTTCTTTACCTTCTACTCAGGATTCAAGATTCAATCGAACCCTCAGAATTGTTCAAGGGTATGCGTTTAATTTTTACCCCATAAATCTGACAGTAATTAACTACAAATTCTCACAAGACCCAAATTTTTGTTATTGAAGGATATCTCATTTCCAAGTTGGTCAAGTGTTTCTTCTATTTTGGTTCAGATTTGAATGCCAATTTGCAAAATAATACTAAAAACCCAAATAGAATTTAAATTAAGAATTCGTATGAAGTTTGATCTCGAGATTAATTCAACTGCTATAGTGTTTGTTAGCTGGTAAATAGTGTTCTATTTTCAGTAAATTTGGTTGTTTACATTGGAGGTGTGTAAAGTTTTGTTTTTTTCTCTTTCTGGAGAATTATAGGATCACGGAACAATGATTTGTGCATTTCGATAATGCAATTAAAGAAAGGAAAGAAAGGGAAAATTATTGAAGAGAAATCACAAGAAAACTGTGCATGCGTAAGGGAAGAAATGGGCAAAAGTTTTTAATACGGTATTACCCTTCCATTTTGAAAAGAAAATAGACTACAGGTATTCGCTTGATGGAGAAATTGACAAGAAATGGATGCAATGATGGTTTGCGCAATTAAATGTGTCACTAAAGGTGAAAATGACAAAAAAAAAAAAATAGAATATTGAAAGGTATGGACGCTACGTGATCATTACCCTAAATTAAATTACCAACTTATAATGAAACATAAAGTTAAGTAACCATTTTAGAATAAGAAAAAGTTGAATGACTAAAGTGAAACAACTCAAAGTTAAGTAACCATTTGAGTTTTTAGCCCTTATTTGATATACATTATTTTCAAAATTTATTTTTCACTCTTTTATTTTCAACAACACGTTCTTTAATAAAATAATATTACATGCAACTTCAAAATTTTTCCTTGTTTTTTAACTACATATTTTCTATCAATCTACTATTTTAAAATGTATTATTCATAAATAATGTGTAACAAACAAGTTATTAATATTGATTATTTGTATTATATCTTTTGAAATTGAGTAGTGCTATTCAACCTGTTTAACACCAATTTAGGTGACAACAACACTTAAATCATTAAATTATAAATTCAATTAAATTGAATATGACGTACTGACACTTAGATCGATGTTAAACATCACTAATGGTAGATATTATTCCTCGAAGTCAATTTACTATTTAGCCATATCTGATAGTGTTTTTTTTTTTTTTAAGAAAATAAATCATGCGGAAAGTGTTTTTTTTTTGGGAAAACGTATAGCCCTTGTTTGGTTTTGATTAAAATCTTATTTTAATTTCAAGTTAAAGTCAATAATTAATTTTAACCACACATTTCATGAGATCCATAGTTTTTCAACTACACATTTCTTCAAATTTTATCAAAATCTATAAAAATCTGATTTTAATCTACATCAAACAGGGGCATAGTTAAAAAGTAGAATTTTATTATTATTATTATTATTATTATTGTTATTATTATTAAGAGAATGTATTATTCAAAATGAGTTCGAGAAAAAAAAAAACTATTTTTAAAAAATGAGGATCAAACATGAGTTTAAAATAGTAGCCATGAATTTTACCATCTTTAGTTTTTCTACCTCTCAACAAAATACACTAGGATGGTATGTTCGGATACGTAGAGAACACGATAGCATGTTCTAACTCGGGTAGTGATCTCATAAACAAAATCTAGAATTATCAAAGACACTTTCTTCAAATGGATTGAATGCAGTGGCAGAATCACAATATTTCTTTTGGTGGACAAAAATTATATAGCAAAACGAATCATAAATAATATAATTATAATTGTTCCCGACATGTTTTTATATTTTAGAAACGTCGTATAATTATATCACTGTTAATTTCGTTAAATATATTTTTATCAATAGATAAAATATTGTTTTGTTCTATTACTAAATCCTTTCAAGAAATGGTTAACTAAAGCCTTCCAATAAGTACTTGGAGAATGCATACAAACTAGAGATGAAAATTGAATTCCCAATTCCCTCAATCACCGCTCTCCGAGCCCCTAAATTTTTTTCAAACAAATAGTTAGAGAAATGAACTAATTGCATACAAATTAAAAATGCAAATGAGGAAGTTCTAGAACTTATAATTATTTAAATGTTTAATTTTGTATTTTTGAATTGACAAAAAATGTATAACTTTAAGCAAGATGTTTAACTTTAATGGAGCCAACAAATTTTATTTGATAAAAATACATGTCCTACTTCAAGATAGCTAGACGATAGCAACCTTCAACTTTTCAGGGTTGATAGGGGTGTATTTGTCACTCCACATATCATTAGCAGTTGAGACTAAAATCGAGTTATTTAATAAATATATTCACAAACTCTTGATTTTTCATATGGTCCCTATATTTATTCAAGAAAAAAATACAGACACATATAATAAGCATCTATTGTGTATGTGTTACTACGAGAATTGAAGCACGTAAACTCAAATTCCCAACCACGAATAATAGTGGAAGCAATAAGATGTTGAGAAGTGCGGAATGTTGTGGAAAGGAAGAACCTTTTTGAATTTTTCCTTTCTATTTGAAAAAAAAAAAAA